GGCCGGATCCGGCCCTCGGGGTGCTTAAATCCGGCCTGTGGGGCTGGCCTGGAAATATCAAAGGACTCCAGTCATTTATTAGGAGCAAAATTTTGGCATTTGGCAACCAAATCTGATTTCTGCTTAATGGCATCTGAACTTTACCCCTGTGTCTTCCCTCCCCTCCATCTGTGTCATAAATCACATCCACCAACGAGGTGCTGCGGCAGGCTATGAACTTGCACGCCTCACACACCTACTGCAGAAATATGAGATCCGACTCTGGCCAAAGGTATGCATGGAATTCTCCTCCCTTTTCTAGGTCAACTTGATAATAGTCATGGAAACACTTTACAAGTTGACAGTGGCAGGAGGCCGTTCAGGCCGGCCCGTGAAGGAGAACTACAATACTGATCTGTTGTGGTCCAGCAGGAGCCGTTGGAGCTGCCAACAGACTCCGATAGCGAGGGACCCTATGAGTCGGCTCTGGACGATGTGGAGAACCCTGGGTTCAGATGCCGAGCAGGGACCAGAGAGGCTGGTTGGCCACCAGGAGGCGCCTGAGACATGGAGCAGTGGTGAAAGCCAAAGGGAGTTTGTCCCTGACGTCAGGCCCTGGAGCAGTGGGGAGGAGCAAAGGGAGTTGGTCCCGGATGCCAGGCAGAAATGGGCGGATAAGCACCGGCAGCAATTACAGAGACACAGAAGATAATCGGGCCCAGGTGGTTGTGATTTGGCTCCTCCCAAGAGAGTATATAAGAAGAGACTTTGGGAGGAGACTTTTTGCAGGACACAACCGTTTATACCAAGCTGGAGAAACTCTTGTGTGTATCTCTTATCTGTGGCAGTCTGGGTTGCTGCCAAAGTCTTGTCTGTGAGTAATTACTGTGAATAAATTGGCTAACAGTAACATTGTGTTGACGTGACTCACCGTACGGAGAGGGGGGGGGGTCAGAACACTGATCTAACCCTCAAAGAAATCCAGTTTGACACCCCTTCTCTAGAACAGCGGTCCCCAACCTTTCTGGCATCAGGGACTAGTTTCGTGGACGGATCAGGGGGTAGGGGGTTGTTTTGGTTTTGCTCACTCGCCCACCACTTGCCTCCAGTTTTGTGTCCCAGTTCTTAAAAGGCTACAGGCCACTACCAGTCTGCAGCCCTGGGGGAGGGGGGATGTAGACCCTTGCTGCAGAATATGCTAAACTTTTTTCTGAATTGGGAATAGAATTGCACCTGTGTACAATTATAACAAATTAGGACCGCTCATACCTGGAGGCAAACTCTATAGTTGCTTTGCATAACCAGGAATAAAAATCTTTCAAAGTCTGGGACTTCTTAATTCGGTAATATTTCTGTAAACTCAATCAACCTTGCTGGTAACCTGCATTATGAATACATCTTTGGTGCTGAAAAACACCTTGGTTTTTCATTTCCGGGACGTCTGGAAACAGCAGATTGTACACAAAGTGCTTTGAAAACTGTTCAGCTTTGGATCTCACGTGAACGGTGCAAATACTTGGAGGTGCTTTAGTGAGCAGCTATGAGAGTTGTGCTATGCTTACACAAGGTACTCCCTAGTTCTTCTTCCTAATTAGTTTGGAAGAATGCTCAACTTCAGCAGCCAGTTTCATGTGTCTGAAGAATGTATATACTCGAGTATAGGCCAACCCTATACTCGAGTATAAGCCGAGGCA